ATACCATACCGTTAAAAACTTAACATATTTAGATCATTATCTTCGATTATCATAATTAATAATTCTCTTTCTTAAACTAAAGGAGATAAATCGTGATCTTAAAAAGCTTAAAAGTACTAATGATCAAAATTAAATTTAATTATATTCGTTGGTTAGAGGTTTAATGCATGGGGATTATAATGAAATTAGAAAAATGATGGTTGGTGGTGTGCAAAAAGAGGTAATTGCAATAGATGATTGAATCCAGGGTGGACAATACCCTAAAATGTCCCACAGTCATTATCCGATGCGGGATCATGCCCCCCTCTACTCATTACTCTTTATACGTTTGGTTTACGAAATATAAGATTATTAGAGAATATGATTACTGAGAATGTTGTATTTTGTGTTTGGTTGATTTAGCAGAAATGTAAGATAACCGTGTTTGGTTAAAGGAATAAAATATTATTAGAATTTATATTTGACCAAATTATCCTTATTATATATTTATTTTTTAACAAGTTGAAAAATATTTATATATTTTCTTTAAAAAATTTAAATTCATATAATTTTTTTACAAAATTAAAAATATAAAAAGGTTTAATGAGAGGATAAAATTTTATTATGAAAGAGTAAAATTTTATTTTAACTCCTGAACTTTATATAAAATTTTAATTATAGATTTTTTTTTGTAAATCTAAAATAGTTTAAGGATAAATTTATAATTTAACATTCGTAGAATTTTTATTATTCAATGACAGAAGAATGATATTTTTGGGGGAAAAAATTTAAGGACATTTTAGTCCAAATCGCCGGTAATCCAACAATACCTAAGGAAAGGGAGGTAATGACATTCCCAGTAATATACCCTAAAAAATTCACTATTAGTAATCTTACATTACCGGGAATGAGATTTCCAGCTAACCAAACGAGAGAATGTGGATTTTATTCCCATTGAAATTCCACATTCCCCTAACCAAACACCCACTTACAAGTAGTTGGTTGCATTTGGATTGGGTAATCACCTGATTAGGTTGCTAATGAGTGGATTAGGTTGCTAATGAGTGGATTAGATTGTTAATGAGTGATTCTCACATGTGTCTCTCCCATTCATGCCATTAACATTTAGCTAAACACCTAATTCAATTTAACTCATCCGAATACAAACCAAACGATCTCAGTGATAAAATACTTAGAGAGAAAGCAACTGTTGTGCTGATCGGATGATGAAGTTAGATCTCAAAAAAGACGAAAGGGATGCTTTTTCTGGAGAACCCTCTAGAAGAACTTCATCCCAACTCCAAGTGGATGCGAACGGGTTTAGACTACAAAATGTAGTTGTTTCATTGTACCCCCACAAAAAAGAGAAATTATTGTTATTCCTTGATGTCCCAAATTCGAGCACCATAAAATGTCAGATGTGTGAGTGTTCAATGTCAAATGATTAAGAATTATCTTTAAACAAATATTATTTTAACTTACCTCAATATTCTTCGATTTAGATATAGGAGCAAATTCAAATAAAAATCATTGAGAAATGCTAAAATGATAAGGTTAATAAAAGCATGTTTTAGATTTTAGGATAAATTACACATTTAATACTCAAACTATCAATTTTGATATATTTTAGTACTTAAACTTTTAGTTTTTTTTCTTCAAAATCATACATAACTTTTTGTTTTTATTTCATTTTAGTATCATATCGTTAAAAACTTAACACGTTTAGTACTTAAACTATCAATTTTGATCTGTTTTAGTACCTAAACTTTCAATTTTTTAAAAAATTAACGTTCAATTTTTAATTGAGTTATTAAAATTAAACAAAAACTAAACTTTATGTATGGTTTTGAAAAGAAAAAAATTAAAATTAAAATACTAAAACAAATCAAAATTGATAATTTAAACACTAAACGCTTAATTTACCCTAGATTTTATTTTGATTAAGGCTTATTCTGTATTGAGTTTGTTCGAATATATTTTAATCATTTACGATTGTGCTGTAAAATAATTAGTTATTATGGTAATTATTTAGATAAGTGTGTTATTTATATTGTGGAGTGAATTTCTATTGTTAGGGACGGACACAATATTTTATATTAAAAGAGACGAATTTAAATTTATAAAATTTTAAGGACGAAGTTAAAGCTATAAAATTTTAAAAGATATAAAAACATATTTTAATAAAAAATATATAAAAAAATTTAAATATATTATAATTTTAAATTTTTAGAAGATGTTCTCCAACTGACCCACGTTCACCCGTCTATCATGTACTTTTATTTTTGATTTGACGAATTTATACTTTCAAAACGATAGAAAAAACAAGTAGAATGATAATTTTTTTAATTAGATTTATTATAGTTTAAAAATTTTAAAATCTAATCGTATTTTATACTATATTTAGTATTTACCTTCTAATGCAACAATTCAAGTTTTTTTTAACTGAAATAAATTGAGTGGACATATCATATCATTTAACTAAATTCATTTCATGGAATTTTATTTTATTCTTTTAATCGAATTCAAGGACCATTGTAGATAAAATATTTGTTCGAGGACTAAATAGAAAGGCTTGATTATAAAATAAGTGTCCAAATTATAGCATTTTTAACGAATACGTGTCTAAATTATTTTTTAACTGATCTCGGTGCCTAACATTTCAAAGTCAATCGTGTTAATTTCTTTCATTAACTAACATATGTCACAATTTGATAATTTTAAAATTTTTATTTAAAATTAAAAAAATAAAACTATATATTTTAAAAAAACACAAAAAAATGAAATAACCCAAAAAAACTTTAAAAACATTCATTTTAACCCTAAAACCCACACCGCCCGCCGCCCTTTACCATCGATGAAGCTTCACCCAACCTCACCTCTCCCGACGACCAAAACCCCTATGAAAATTGTGATCGACCGACGGCGAATCGACGTTTTATACCCCGCATCCTTGGATGAAAATCACGATCTCACTCGATTCCAACGGTTAATCGACGATAACTACTACAACGTATGACCAGGAGGATGAGAGGGACTACGTCGAAGGCAGTGGTCATGGCCGGAAAGGACAACAACAACTAAGGTTAGGATTTGAAGATTTTAGGGATTTTTAGTTTTTTTTATAATTCAAGAGAAATTAGGTTTTTTTATAAAAGTATAATAATATTTTTAATATATTTAAAAAAAATAAAATTACTAGATTATAATATATGTCACTTAATAAAAAGATTAACATCATTTACGATCTAAACACTTAAAATAATAATGTTAGTGGTGTTTATTAATGTTAAACACACGAATTATTTAGAAAATAGTTTAAACTACTTATATATATATATATGAGAAAGACAATAATTTTTGACACTTATTTTATATTTAAGGAAAATAAAAAATCTAAAAAGTTATGATATGACTTCTTTATTCTAACCACTAAAATAGGTAAAATTACTGTACCTGAAATAGTAAAAAAAGCTAACAATTATAATTGAGAAAATAGTCTTATTGATCAAAAATGTCTTATAATATATGATTTTAACCAATATTTTTTGGATTTGCCAAAATGACCAACTAAATCGCAATGCGATCGATAATTCGCAACGCGATCTCCGGTATCGCAAATCAGTTTCCAGATTCGCAACGCGAACTTGGACTATCGTAATGCGAACTTGGACTATCGTAATGCGATAGTCCAAGTTCACATTGCGATAGTCGAAGTTCGCGTTGCGATTTTCCAAATTCGACTATCGCAACGCGAACTTCGACTATCGCATTGCGATTTACATATTTGCATTGCGATAGTCCAAGTTCGCATTGCGATAGTCGAATTTGGAAAATGCGATTTATTCCAAATTCGTTGCGATAGTCGAAGTTCGCGTTGCGATTTATTCCAAATTCGTTGCTATAGTCCAAAATCACAACGACTGGTGGTATTGCATTTGTTTCTTAAGAATTTTCTCTAAAAAGATAGTATTCGCACGGACGTGTCGAAGACACGTATTACCACGACCACGGTCACGGCCTCGACCCGAGACGAGACGGACGGCGGCGGCGGTGCGAGAGTCCCCCTTGTTCTCTATCACTCAACAAGGAAGTGGGAAAGCAAAGCCTTAAATACCATTCCCAATAGTGTTTCCAATACTATTTGGGATTGAGCATTACCAACACTTGTTCTCAATACTATGTGGGATTGAGCCTTAAATAGTGATATTATTTTTGAATGTTTTGCTTAAAATTGCAATAATCGCGATTGATTGTAGATAGACTTTTAATTATGGCATATTTAATTGTATAATACTAATGCAATTGGTTGCTGATTCAGTTGTTTTAAGGTACATGATTGTTAATTGTTTCCTAAATAATCACATTGTATTGGAAATAAGTGTTGGTAATGCTCAATCCCACATAGTATTAGAAACACTATTGAGAATTGTATTTAAGGCTTGACTTTCCCACTTCCTTGTTGAGTGATAGAGAACAAGGGGGACTCTCGCGCGAATACTATCTTTTTAGAGAAAATTCTTAAGAAACAAATGCAATACTATCGCAACAAATTTGGAATAAATCGCAACGCGAACTTCGATTATCGCAACGAATTTAGAATAAATCGCAACGCGAACTTCGACTATCGCAATGAACTTGGACTATCGCATTGCAATTTACATATTCGCATTGCGATAGTCCAAGTTTGCATTGCGATAGTCCAAGTTCGCATTGCGATAGTCCAAGTTCGTATTGCGATAGTCGAAGTTCGCGTTACGAATCTGAAAACTGATTTGCGATACCTGATATCGCGTTGCGAATTATCGATCGCATTGCGATTTAGTTGGTCATTTTGGTAAATCTAAAAAAAATTGGTTAAAATCGTATATTATAAGGTATTTTTGATAATGAGGTTATTTTTTTTTAATAATTTTGGGGGTTTGAAAGGGAGGGTAAAATGGGCATCCAAATTGTTTATATATTCTCACTCTCTCTTAACTCACTCGCCTCTTTTAGACACGTACACCATTCTCTCCTGAGCTTTAATTCTCTTTTCTCATAGTTTCAAGATTCTGTCTTCAAGCTCATTTCTCTGGTCCCTTGGATCCCACCATAGCAAGCTTGGGTTTTTTTTTCCCTTTCTGTATGTTTTTATTTTCGAAGATCTTTCCTTTTTGCAGATTTTTGTGCTTTGTTTTTTTACCTTAGTGCTTGATGGGGTTGCTTTGTCCCTGTTTGTTTACCGAGAAAATGAAAAAAAGGGTTTGGGGTTGTTATATAATTTACGAGTTTTTTAGGTTGTTGTTCTTCCATGTAAGATTTGTTTGTTTGTTTTAATGATTTTATCAGTTTCAATAATTGTAATCTCTCTAGGGTTTCTACATGTTTATTTCGTTCCCTTATTAGATTTAAGGGTAAATTAAGCTATTAGTATCTAATTATCAGTTTTGATCTATTTAAGTACTTAAACTCTAATTTTTTTCGAAGTTATACTAAAGTTTAGTTTTTGTTTGATTTTAGTATTCCACCGTTAAAAAAATTGGTTTTTGTTTTATTTAAGTGCAGTTCAAAATTTAATGCTAATTTTTGGAAAAAAATGAAAGTTTAGTAATAAAACAGATCAAAACTGATAGTTTAAGGGATAAACGCATGCATATATTAAAATGAAATCTTAAGTATGATTTTAAAAAAAATTAAAAGTTTAGTTACTAATCGGATCAAAACTGATAATTTAATTACTAAATGTGTAGTTTACCCTAGATTTAATTATAGAATTAAATGTTGCTTGATGCATATATTGGTTTAGAGAAGTAAAAACCCAAAATCTATTAATGATTGTTAATGTTCATACGAGGAATGAAGGGCAAAAAGTGAAGTCGAATTCTCTTTTACTACAATTCCAAGCTATGTTAGTTGTAGAATTGTCGGATATCGATATCTATATTCGACACAGAGTTTTCGTGTTCTAAAGTTTAAAACATATTTGGAGAATTACGATCCCGCATCTTGTCCGACACGAGTCGAACATAAATACTTTAGAGGAGAAGAAGAAGAGTTGGCATAGTTTCTAAGCAATAAAATGTATCAATCATAGTTTCTTGCTGTAGAACAAGCGGATTATCCTGTTTTGATCTCCTTATTTGTGGCTTATGTTTAGCGTTTCTCTTCTAACGAGAAATTCTTTCTTTTTGCAGAGAAATGTCTGGTTTCACACAAGTAATAACGTTTAAACTGCTGATGGTTGGGTGAAACAAAGAAGAGAAACAGCATGCCTTGGTTCAGTTTCTTTCGCAGAGTCGTGCGCTTGAATTTATACTGCATAGTTATTTTGTAAAATCTGTCGTTTTCACTTCACCTTAGTTTTATATCGGCTAGCCGTTCTTTGCTCAACCATCCATGGGATCCACTCACTTTTATTTCTTCTTATGCGATCAATATAGGATTAGTTAGAAATATCGGAATTTAGAATACTAATCCTAATTCGAGCTCCTTCAGCCAGTGTCTTGCTTTCGAGCCGTTTCTTTAGTTCTAGATAGATATCTTGTTTGTCTTATACCTTGGGTGAATTTGGTTGCTCTGTTAATTGTTATCTGGGTATTTGTTTCCGTTCTCATCCTATATCGATAAGACTGGTTAATCCAAGGAGAAGTACGTAGTTATGGTGTGCCAAGCAGCTAGTCAAACAAGATTTAGAGCATTGAAACATGAAAGTGGGATTGCCGGAAAACCAACGATTGTAGTTAGAGTAATTGCATGCTTTCAACCAATGGAGGATTGTCAGGTTAGTTTAAATTCTAGTTTCGTTTTCATTTAAATCTTTGTATTTGTAATTTTTATAAACGGCGTGTTTGAATTGATATCTGGCTGATTTTGCTGTTCTCGTAGGCTGAGTACTTCCGTCATTTACTTAAGCCCGTCACGTAGATTGATTCTTTTCAACATTTGTTCGTTAAAAAAGCCTTTAGAAGTTTAATATACGGGATCGAGCATTGTCCATTACCTGGTATGTTGTTACCGCTTACTACATCTTGTTTTTCGTTGTTATTAGTTTATTGTTTCATTTTCATGTGTGATCCGCAGGAGTGTTCTAGTCGAATGGTTCGGACCAACGATTCTTGGGTTTTCCCTCGGTGTTCTTCTTGGCAACTGCCTGACTTAAGGTGCATGAGATCATCATTAGCGCCCGGGCAGCCAGAATGCTTGCCTGCATATATAAACCCTGGCAGTCACATGCTTTCTGCGAGTGTATCAAAACCGGGTTCTTTGGTTCCTGGTACAGATCATGGCACTCGTTTGCTTCCTGCAAATATTGCAATCCCGAGACCAGCGGATATTTCTGTACTAAAAACGGAACAAAAGTATAATCCCCACGAGTTTTTCCAGCAGTTTTACCCTGGTTTCCTGACTTCATTGCCCTCTTCTGGTTCGTATCTCAACAAACAGCAATTCATGTTTACTAATGGACATGGGGGAAGGGCTACAGCTAATTTGGTCCCTGGCTCCTTGCAGAAAGGGCTGGTAATTTTTGATCAGTCGGGCAGTCAGACAAGGTTAATTTATGGCCCTTTTCGATCTCCATATCAGTATGCGACGACTTCCACCACAGAGGTAGCTTCTTCCCTCGATTTCCATGAAGGGCAAGCAGTTAAAACAGATAGTCTCGTTCCGGCCCCACCAGTTTTACAGGGGGAATATGATGAGAACCATTTGGGTGCCGAAGAGAGTGAGATGCATGAAGATACCGAAGAACTTAATGCTTTGCTTTACTCTGATGATGATTCTGGTCACGACGACGATGATGAAGTAACGAGCACGGCTCACTTTCCTATTAGAATTAAGCGAAACTATGAGGATCAAGACCATGGTTATGATGTAATGGAGCAAGTTACGAGATCTAATGGTCCAAACAAAAGGCAAAAGCTACTGAATGATGGGAATAAGCGACCTATAACGGTGGACGAAGGCTCTCACGAGTATGATACTGATGCAGACTCGAGCTATGCCATTGGACCAAATCACGGAGAGGAAACTTTGCATGATGAACAGTCGATAAAGGATAAGATTCGCACGACGTTAAAAATCCTGGAAAGCATAATACCCGGTGCTAAAGGAAAGAACCCAATCTTGGTCCTCGACGAATCTATAGACTACTTGAAGTCCTTAAAGCTCGAAGCCGAGACTTTAGGAGTGAACCGCTACTAGGTTTGCACTCTTACTTTGTAAGTATGCCAACCAACTGTATAATTTGGTGGGAAAAGAAGGCTGGAAATAAAACCAAAGTCTCAACTCGAATGATCGATGAATTTGAAATCACTAAACTCGCCTTTTCTTCGGTGGGGCCGACCCATTTTGTCGTCTTTTTTACCTTCTCAAGGAGCCTTATGGGGGGGGTAGCCAATGAAGGAAAGGCAAGGTATGCCATTTGCTCTTTTGATTAAAGTAGGTTTATGGTTTTGTTTGTTGACCTGAAATGATTATATTTGATAGTAAAAAGCAAGTCACCAATGCTTTGAACGCATGGGGGGAAAGAGGCTGCTACTAGCGTGGTGTGTGCTGTAAACCCCCCCCCCCACCAATGGCCGTGGATGTAGTGTAGCGTGCATGCGCGTTAGGTTGAACCGGGTCCCGCTACCCGACCCGTCTCTTTTATTACCTTGAGAACAACTTCATGTTTGATATTTTCTTTCAACCTTTCCCCTACAAGTATGAAGACAAAAACTTTCCCATGGTGTCTGGTTTTCTTTTCGCCCCGAACGAGTCCATCTTTCGATCGAGTTCTGTAGCGAAAAAGTATGGGTTAAACCCCCCCCCCCTTCACGTGAGTTGTTCTTGAGCGTCAGGTCCTTATGGAATGGGTTTATGATGTGTCTGGTTTTTGTTTGTGTGATTTTATGATGTTTTTGTACTAATAATTGGAGCCATGACTGGCTGATGCTTGAGCTCCAAACCATGACTATGTTGTACTGTCGTTTTCAGTGGTTTGTGTGAATGTAATGTAATAGTATATGGTCATGATTATTTAGTGTTCAAAAATCAAAGTTGTCAAATTAGGGGTGAGCAAAACTTGATTAAGAAACCAATTATTTCAGCTCGACTCGATTCGGAAAAGCTGGACTCGAATTGGTTTCTAGTTGTAATTTCATAAACTTAACTTGATCTAAAAAAATTTCAAGTTCAAATCGAGTTGTAATAATTTTTTAGTAATTAGTACATCGATATTTAAGTTTGAGTCGAGTTCTTTAACTATGCAAGATATATATATATCACATACGGAAAAAATATGAAATATATATATATATATCGTATATGGTTATAAAAATATATTTAAATTAGAATTAAATAATGTTATAAATAGTTTTGGGATGTAACTGTAACAATGTGGAATTTGTTAATTCCACAAAATGAAATTGAACAACTATTTCAATTAAATTAAATTTTTATTTAATTATAATTAGTTGTGGAACAATTTAACAAATGGAAAAACTTGATCATATAACCGAACAATGAATTTATTTATATTTTATTAATAGTATAAATTATAAGGAATTATTTATTTAAAATATTTCTAGTCATGAATAACATATATACATTTTATAAATATTGTTATTGAATTTAAATTTTAAAAAAATAATATTCTCTTTTATTATTAAAGTCGTTAAATTAATATATTTATTTGTGTTTAATGAAAATATGATATATGTATTAAAGTAGTATCAACTTTAAATAGTAGTTTAACCCCCTCAAAGTAGTCTACATCCATTATTTAAGCTCTTCACTTAGGATTTTCTAATTAATTTACTAATTTATTCTTTCTTTTTCAATGATAAAGAGATAAACTTTACAAACTCCCTAACTAGAACCAAAACCCATTTACAAAGGATAAGAAATGTGTAAACAAGAAGACATTTCTAGGTTGGTGTTTACAAAGATTTAGCTCACAAAAACAAAACCTAAGGATATACAATTAAGTTCAAAACACAATATTTACAAGAGAAATGAAATAAGGGTTGAATTTTTTTCCCTTGTGTATGAATGCTTGGATAGGTGTGGGTAACATTCTTCAAGTGTCGTCAACTTGTTTTTATATGCTGGAATGAGTTATTAGTCGTTTGGGATGATTTGGAGTCATTGGGAACTGAAAAATCTGTAATTTTGCTAAGGGGTTTCGAAATCTTCATTTAAAATTTTGACCGTTTGAACGGGGGTTTCGAAACTTTTGAGGGGATTTTGAAATTTGTAGGACAAATTTACATTTTGCCTTATGGGTTTCGAAACTTCATGAAGGGGTTTCGAAACCATGCCCAAAATTACATGTTTCACAATTTAAAAACTTTTTTATAATGTTTAAACAAATTCAATTTGATCCAAAAATATTTTTATCCTTATTTGTTATATCATAATATTAATTCTACACAATTGTTGGTTAATGCTTTTCTATTCCCATGCATTTGTGGGCATTCCGACATAATCGGATCTCTACGTACAATTATATATATATAATTTAAGAATATAAGATACTCTTGTATAATTCTCTTCTATTTTTTTTAGATTTTTTAAATAAATTTGTGTTATTATCATTATTAATTTTTATTCATCATTATTCATAATCATAAAAGAGTATAGGGTAAAGTACACAAATGATCCCTAACTATAGGGTATTGTTTTATTAAATCATTTAACTATTAAAAATAATAAAATGGTCATGTGACTATAAAATGTTGTTATGTTAAGTCGTTGACTATTAAAAGTTACAAAATGGTCACCCGACTATTCATTATGTTCCAAACTCGTCATTTTCAATTAAAAATTGACGGTTGTTTAAGCTAAACGTCAACATGATGATTACTGACCGAGATATGATAGTCATTTGAGATTCTAAGATCATATTTTATCATATCACACTCAATATGTTAACGTTCAACTTAAAATATTATCCATTTTTAACAAAAAAAATGATGAGTTTGGAACATAATGAATAGTTAGGTCACCATTTTGTAAATTTTAATAGTCAATAACTTAACAAATCAACACTCTATAGTAGAACGATCATTTTATAACGTTTAATAGTTGATAAACTTAATAAAACAACACCCTATAATAGTAAACTATTTATATATTTTACACCAAAGTATATAAACAAATATTTATAGTAAAATTTTATAAAAATGAAAAGATCAATAATAGCGGGTCATATTATTGAGTTAGACAAAATTGTTGTTTTCTTGGTTATCTGCCAAGTCACTCTTCTTCTTCTTGTCATATCCATTCCATGAAAAGAAGGATTTTTCTATGGCGATTTCATTGTCGGAAGCTGTTTTTTCCTTGTTTTACGGACGAACGTTGTTTTAAAAGTTTCGTTTGATTGAACACCCTCCTCGAGATGCTATATATCGATTATTAAAAGTTATAAAATAATTATTTAATTATAGAGTGTTATTTTATTAAATATTTTAATTATTAAAAATTATAAAAGGATTATTTAATTATTTATTATGTTCTAAACTCATCATTTTTCGTTTAAAAACTGACGCTATTTTGACATCAACATTAACTTGCTTACTGTGATATAATAAAATATGATCTCAAAATTTTAAATGACTATCATATCATAGTCAGCAAGTTAACGTTCATATCAAAATAGTGTCAGTTTTTTAACGGAAAATGATGAGTTTAGAATATAATGAATAGTAGGGTGACCATTTTGTAATTTTTGATAGTAGAGAGACTTAACAAAACAACATTATATAGTCGGAAAATTATTTTATAACTTTTTAATAGTCGAGAGACTTAATAAAATAATACCAGACAATCGGGGATCATTTATGTACTTTACTCTTAAATTTATAATATAATAATTAATTTCAACTATCCTTGTATGTGTATAAAAAAATTATTATCCACAACTTTTTCATTAAACAACGATATTATTTAAAACGTACGCGTAATTTTATGTTAGCTATATAAGGTTCTTAAAAATTGTACTAGATTTAAAGAATACATAATTATAAAATTTCATGAATATTAAACTAGAACATAAATAAAACTTATATAAAAATTGAAATTGTAAAAAATAGGTAAACTAAACTTTTAATTAATTCAAAACCGTAATTAAAGTCTTAACATTTTTGGTACTGAAACTATCAGTTTTGATTCGTTCTAGTACAAAAATTTTAAAACTTAATGTTAAATTTTGAACGGGTACTAAAATGAAAAAAAAAAACTAATTAGGAAGAATTGACAGAATTTCATACAAGTTAGGTATGTTCTCTTCAGTTTCATTTTGATTGTGGGGCTGTGTGTCTTTGTTGGCCTTTAACTACTCACGTGTGTGATATTCTAGTGTCGGTCTAATTTTGTGCCATATCCTTCATCTCCATAATAGGGATGACTAAATTATTGACAGTTGATTTCCTTATCCCTGCATGAAGAAAGAATTATTGCTATTTGATTGTTTCTATACATAATTGAACGTTATCCGAACCTGGATCGGATGAAAACAGTTCGTTAAATGATTATTCGAACAAATGTTAAGGATGGATTTCGATATTAATTCGAGAGATGATGATATCTGATAACAAATGATCGATCACACTAAACAAATCTGTGAATTCACACAAACACTGAACAAAATTTCGAATGACAATTACTTCATGGTGGTTTTCATTTTTTCTTTTTCTTTACGAGATCGAATTTCGCCATCTTCTCAGTGTCTTTCTAGTCTGTTCTGTCGCGGTCGACGTTTGAGGTCCGATGTCGTGGTTTTCTGCCGGTGTCATCTTAGTGAGTTTGCTAAGTTTCTTCCATCCAATGGTCCACGCGGATGTTTGTTTAGGCTTCGACATGTTGTCGAATTGTCGTTGCAAGTTCTCCATGTCGTTTTGGAGCTCGAGGTACTTGGCCTTGACGCTTTCGAGCTCGAATTTGAGTGTGTTGATGTCTTTCTTGGCGGCCAACCATCCTTCTTGGAAGGATTGCGGGGTGGCTTCGAGTAATGTCTTGTGGTTCGGTATCAATGGCCGGTATTGAGTTTCTGCAGGATCTTTGAGCGTGCTGTTGGCCAATGCGTTACTTATTTTCACTTGCTCTGAGAAGAGAACTTGAACGACAATCCGCAGAGGGAGCCGTTCGTTTTGAGCAGCATGCAGGCAGGCATCAATCGAGAGCTTTTGGCAGTCCATCACACGGCAGAGTCGCTTCCTTTCATGCTCGGAGAGTGTCGGGTGTGCCTGCGATTGAATTTTGTTAACCCGCAAATCAGAATAAATTCATGTTGAATCCATGGAATCATCACATCGATAAACTAAGTACGGATTCGAGAAAGGAAGCTTCCTTCGATGCTATTGATTTGGCGAACTATTGTCAAAATTTAAAATTGACATTACTACCTACATTGCCTCAAGCAATCATATGATT